CTACACCAGAGGTGTTATTCAGCAGGTTCTGACGTGTTCTGGAGAACCAGTAGCGGAAATTTTGAGTAGTTCGGAGAACCGGCAAATGCCACCTCTGACTGGCCCCGCCCTCATCTATTCTCTGCCTCCCAATGAGTCCCAGCTGATCAGCTGGGTCTTCTTTGGTTGCCCTGCACAGGAGAACAGAGCTGGAAAGCAGGTTAGTGGAGTGGGGAGGGAATGGGGATTTTACAGTATTCTTCCCCTGCCATGCCCACCAAGCCACGCCACACCCACCAAGCCACGCCTACAGAACCAGTAGTAAAAAAAAAATTGAATCCCACCACTGATCTACACTGCTTAATGATGAATTTTCCGGTCTCAATTGTGATTGTAAATTGAGGACTTCCTGTCATGTACCGAGTCTAGCTACTGTAATATTGTCCTGCAACAATCCTGATTTAGTATTCCTTCATAGTACTGTGGGATATGAACAGGGGTGGGATTCTACCAGTTCGCACCTATTCACTAGAATCAGTTGTTAACATTCTAAGCAGTATGGAGAACTGGTTGTTAGAAGAAATTACTGGCCTAATCCTGTAAGGAAGGCAGGAAGGAAACATTCTGGTGTTGCTTGCAGAAACTGCCTCTCCGTTAACCCTTATTACATTCTTGGCAGGACTAGACTTCCTGTCTCAGGAACTTCTTTGGAGTTTTTTTTCCTCCTTTGCTGGTACTTTGCTTGTGTGGAGTGACCATTCACAGTTACAATGGCACTGAAAAAAGTGACTTATGACCATTTTTCACACTTACGACTGTTGCAGCATCCCCACAGTCATGAGAGGCCAGGCGAGGAGATGTGTGCCTTGATGTGAGTAATATTGAGTTGGCCACGCCCACCCAATAACATGACCACCAAGCCACGCCCACCCAGTCACATGACCACCAAGCCACTCCTACCAACTAAGCCACGCCCACAGAACCGGTTGTTAAAACATTTGAATCCCACCCCTGGATATGAACAGCAATAGCAATAGCACTTAGACTTATATACTGCTTCAACAGGGCTTTACAGCCCTCTCTAAGCAGTTTACAGAGTCAGCCTATTGCCCCCCCAAAATCGGGATCCTCATTTTACCATCCTCGGAAGGATGGAATGCTGAGTCAACCTTGAGCCACTCAGAATCGAACTCCTGGCAGTAGGCAGTGACCCAGCCTGCAACGCTGCATTCTAACGCCTGCGCCACCATGGCTCTGAAAATGGGATCCAAGCCCAGCCACTCCCATTAGGAAAGACCCCTCTTCTCAAGGTGCTTCCACAATTTGCAGGCTCCCTGCGCTCGATGGAAGGATGTTGCAGCAGAAATCAAATTCCAAGTCAACTTACTGTTTTCATCGACTTCGTTGGACAGCGAGTAGCTTATATCTCCCCCAAGAGCAGAGGAAGGACTCGGGGTCATGCCAGCTGACATCTCAATGGCATTGTCTGCCATTTCATGCCCTGCCAAGGCCAAGGCGGTCAACGTAGTGGGCAGCATGGTGCTACCCTCTGGGTTCCCATCAGTCTTTCCCAGCTCCTCTTTCCACTGTTCCTGGAAGTACCGCCCGTTCAGTCCCGTGTAAACGTTCTGATTCGATTCCGGGATGCCAGCTGAAGCTGGTGTTGCCCCAGTGGCAGCGGGGGGATCTTTTGAAGAAGCGGGGGACGGAATTAGGAAGGGAATTGTTGGACGGTCCTTTAGGATTGGAACTTGAGATGGTTGCGGAGAGGCAGCATCCTGTGGGAATAAACCCCCGGTATTTCCCTGCAACCAGGTTGGAGTGACCAGATGAAGGTCTGCGCCTGGTGAGATGCCATCCTCAGCGTCTCCCTCCAAAGACGTCTTGCCCAACATCGAAACCATGCTCGGTGACTCTTCTGTGACATTCATCGTATCAGCATCATCAACTACGGTGAATAATTTGCCCTCGTGAAGAACATCTACCGAGGGTTCTGTGGCAGCCCCCCTAACTTCTCCATTTAGGAAAGAGACATTGGGTACCATGGAGCTCTCTTCCATGCTTTCTCTTCTGACTGGGAAAGCCGTTACCATCTGGAGCTGCTCATCTTCTTCCAGTAACGGCACCGCCATTTTGTGTAAGGGGTCGTAAAGATCCTTGGCTGATTCTTTGGAATCTGCCGACACGATAGCTTCCTCGTTTTCCCTGGGGAATAGCTCGTTCTGGCTCAAAAAGGACAGGTCAGGATCCTGCTCCACCAAGATGTTCTCCATTCCTGATTCGTGGCTTCCCTCCGAATATTGGTCCATGGCCTGATGGACAGATCCCTCTACAAAGGCTGCCCTGTCCAGTATCTTGGCCAACTGATGCCCTGCAAAGGGATAAAAAGAGAATTGTGGATTCAGGAAAAACTCAACCGCTGGAGCAAAACCTTTTCTGAACAGGTGCTTTCCAAATTGACACTCTTAGAAAGAGTGCAGAGAAGAGCAACAAAGAGGATTAGGGGACTGGAGGCTAAAACATATGAGGAACAGTTGCTGGAATTGGGTATGTCTAATTTAATGAAAAGAAGGACTGGGGTGACATGATAGCAGTGTTTCAGTATCTCAGGGGCTGCCACAAAGAAGAGGGAGTCAAACTATTCTCCAAAGCACCTGAGGGTAGGACAAGAAGCAATGGAATGGAAACTGATCAAGGAGAGAAGCAACTTAGAACTAAGGAGGAATTTCCCGACAGTTAGAACTGTCAGGAATCCGTGGAACAACTTGCCTCCAAAAGTTGTGGATGCTCCAACACTGGAAGTTTTTAAGAAGAGATTGGACAACCATTTGTCTGAAATGGTGTAGGGTTTCCTGCCTAAGCAGAGGGTTGGACTAGAAGACCTCCAAGGTCCCTTCCAACTCTTCTGTTATTCTGTTAAATGTGCTGGACTTCAACTCCCAGAACCCTTCAACTCCCAGACCTGACTGAGGTATTCTGGGGGTTGAAGTCCAGCACACCTGAGGTAGAGAATTGGCAAGGACTGTTCTGGAAAAAAATTAAAAGAGAGAAAAGGTAGATTAAAAAACAAATCAGCCAGCGAGGCATGCAAAGATTGGATAGAAAGCATTTATATTCAAAATAGGAAAGGGTGAGAAGGGAGGGGAGAAACATTCACTGGTGCAGCTCAGACAGATGCGTCCAGGCAATGCCTCCGGCATACTAATAGGCATTCCCTGAAGCCCAGCGTGTGGGTGTGCATGTGTGAGCATTAAGAGTGAGCGCAGAGAAGGCTGGCGTGCCAGGATAATTAACTTAGAAACGATCTTCATCATTATTCCAGTCTACCTTGGACAAGCTGTGTGCAGGAATCTTGGTCCCTTAAATGTCGAAAACAGAAACGTTGAACTTGAATCAGGACAGGGGGTCCTCGCCTTACGACGGTCACTTCGCGGCTGCCTGAACTTATGGCAGGCCTCCCGACAGCTGCTTGCAACCCAGTGTACCAATGGCTCTCTCCTTGCGGTCACGTGACCACATTTGGGGCCCTTGGCAACCGGCCCACATTTATGACGGTTTGCAGTGTCCCACATTCACACGAGTGATTGATGTTTGTTGCCAGAAAATGGGCATTTGGGTTTCCACTCCCCCCCAGCCCCGCAAAAAAAAGAAAAAAGAAAACCCATCATTTATTGACAACAGTTCGAAAAAAAGTGAATTATGATCATTTTTCACACTTTAGATCAGAGGTCTCCAAACTTGGCCACTTTAAGGCTTGTGCACTTCAACTCCCAGAATTTTCCAGCCACCATAGCTGGCTGGAGAATTCTGGGAGTTGAAGTCCACAAGCCTTAAAGTGGCCAAGTTTGGGGACACCTGCTTTAGATTATTGCAGCATTCCCATGGTCAATGTGATCGAAATTCAGATGCTTGGCAACTGACTCATACTTATGATGGTTGCAATGTCCCAGGGTCACATGATCTACCTGTTATGACTTTTTGTTCAAGCCAAGTCAATGGGGAAACCAGATTCACTTAACAACTGTGTTACTCATATACAGTAAAAACTGCAGTGATTCACTTAACAGCTGGGGCAAGAAAGGTCGTAAAATGGGGCAAAACACGCTTAACAGCCTAGTGACAGAAATTTTGGGCTTGTGGTCATAAGTCAGGAACCATCTCTATAGTTGAGGTGGTCCTCAACCTTATGACCACAACTGAGCCCATAATGTATGTTGTTAAGTGAGATGGTTGTTAAGTGAGTTTTGCCCCATTTTACGACATTTCTTGCCCAGTGAATTGCTGCAGTTGATCAGTTAGTAACCTGGTCGTTAAGTGAATCTGGTTTCCCTGTTGATTTGGCTTGCAAAAGGGGGAATCACGTGACCTCTGGATGCTGCAACCGTTGTAAGTATGAACCAGTTGGCAAGCATCTGAATTTTGATCATACGATCATGGGGATGCTGCAAAGGTCGTAAGTGTAAAAAACGGGGGCAAGCCATTTTTTTCAGTGCCACTGTAACTTCGAAGGGTCACTAAACGAACTGTTGTAAGTCGAGGACTCCTAGTATTCCCCTTCCACCATTATTTTACCATCCTTTTGAGCACAGAGAGATGGGGAAGGGAATGGTAAGAATAGAATTCTTTATTGGCCAAGTGTGATTGGACACACAAGGAATTTGTCTTTGGTGCAAATGCTCTCAGTGTACATAAAAGAAAAGATTCAATCGTCAAGAGTCAAGAATCATCAGGTACAACACTTAATGATAGTCATAGGGTACAATAAGCAATCAAATCATACTAGGAAACAGTCAATATAAATCGTAAGGATACAAGCGAAAAAGTTACAGTCATACAGTCGCAAGTGGGAGGGTCATAAGGAGTGATGAGAAGATTAATAGCAACAGTAGTGCAGACTTTGTAAATAGTTGGACAGTGTTGAGGGAATGATTTGTTTAGCAGAGTGATGGCATTCGGGAAAAAACTGTCTTTGTGTCTAGTTGTTCTGGTGTGCAGGGCTCTATAGCGTCGTTATGAGGGAAGGAGTTGAAACAGTTTATGTCCGGGATGTGAGGGGTCTGTAGATATTTTCACAGCCCTCTTTTTGACTCGTGCAGTATACAGGTCCTCGATTGAAGGCAGGTTGGTAGTAATTGTTTTTGCTGCAGTCCTAATTATCCTCTGAAGTCTGTGTCTGTCCTGTTGGGTTGCAGAACCAAACCAGACAGTTATAGAGGTGCAGATGACAGACTCAATAATTCCTCTGTAGAACTGGATCAGCAGCTCCTTGGGAAGTTTGAGCTTTCTGAGTTGGCGCAGAAAGAACATTCTTTGTTGTGCTTTTTTGATGACGTTTTTGAAGTTAGGTGTCCATTTTAGGTCATGTGATATAGTAGAACCTCGAAATTTGAAAGTCTCCACTGTTGATACTGTGTTGTCTAGTAGTGTAAGAGGTGGTAGTATGGGAGGATTTCTTCTAAAGTCTACCACCATTTCTACGGTTTTGAGTGTGTTCGGTTCCAGATTGTTCCGGTTACACCACGAGGCAAGTTATATAACCTCCTGTCTATATGCGGATTCGTCGTTGTCTCGAATGAGACCAATCACTGTTGTGTCATCAGCAAACTTCAGCATTTTAAAAGATGGGTCGTTTGAGATGCAGTCATTGGTATATAGGGAGAGGAGAAGTGGAGAAAGCACACAGCCTTGGCGGGGGGGCCCTTGTGCTGATTGTACAGGTATCAGATGTGATTCTGCCTAGCTTCACCTGCTGCTTCCTGTCTGTTAAGAAAAAACTGTTCAGAAAAAAACTGTCCTTGTGTCTAGTTGTTCTGGTGTGCAGTGCTCAGTTTATAGCATCGTTTTGAGGGTAGGAGTTGAAACAGTTTATGTCCAGGATGTGAGGGGTCTGTAAATATTTTCACAGCCCTCTTTTTGACCCAGGCAGTAAACAGTGTAGTCCAACAGGTGAACAAACCTAATGCATGGGTTTGTATGACTTAATGCTTAAGTAGGTTTGTTACATCACCGCATCTGGACCAACATGCTAAGCCTGATAAATTTTAACCGAGCCTGCTGGTTAGTTTATGCTTCAATGTATCCATGAGCTGAGAAAATGAGAATGCAGTAACTAACTTTAACATATTCAGTGAACACAGTTGGGGATAGAAAACAGTCCAGAGTGGATGACACACTCCAATGGGTCTTTATCAGGAGGATTAGCATATTTGGGTTCTGCAGGGGGTTGATTTAGCTTCCAACAGATCATGGGATGCTGCAGTCATCGTAAATACATGCATGCTTTTTACCAAGCGCCCCAAATTATCATGTGGCCTTAGGGATGCTGCCATGTCATGAATGCAAGAACCGGTTATAAGTCCCTTTTTTCCCCAGTATCATTGTAACTTTGAACAGTCACAAAATAAATAGTTGTAAGTAAATCAAGGACTGTCTGTATTATTTCTATGGCTATGGGCTTTTTACAGAACACAGAATAACAGAGTTGGAAGGGACCCTGGAGGTCTTCTAGTCCCACCCCCTGCTCAAGCAAGAACCCTATACCAGTGACTGAGTGTCCAAAGTGTGCACGCACCCTCAAAATGCAATGCATGCGTGTCCCCTGTGCATGCGCCTCGTCCCTGCATACATCCTGCATGTGTGCATGGCCCCTGTGCATGTGCATGTCCCCTTCACACGTGCATGTCCACCTGACCGGTGGGAGGTGCATGCCCTATACCATTTCAAGCAAAGTGTCCAATTTCTTTTTAAGAAATTGGACACTTTTTAAGAGTGTCCAATTTCTTTTTAAGAACCTCCAGTGATGGAGCATTCGCAACTTCTGGAGGCAAGTTGTTCCAATGATTAATTGTTCTCACTGACGGGAAATTTCTCTTTAGTGGTAGGTTGCTTCTCCCCTTGATTAGTTTCCATCAGTTGCTTCTTGTTCTTTGGGGAATAGGTTGACGTTGAACCCCTCTTTTTTGTGGCAGCCCCTGAGATACTGGAACACTGCTATCAGGTCACCCCACTAGTCCTTCTTTCTTTTCATTAAACTTCATTAATATTCCAGCAACTGTTCTTCATATGTTTTAGCTTCCAAGTCCCCTAATCAACTTTGGGGTGTTTTGAGTCCATTTTTAAGGAGCTGCAACTGAAGCAGTGGTGGGATTCAAAATTTGTTACTACCAGTTCTGTGGGCATGGCTTGGTGGGTGTGGCAGGGGAAGGTTACTGCAAAATCCCCATTCCAGAAGTGGTATTCAGCAGGTTCTGACCAGTTCTGGAGAACCGGTATGGGGAAATTTTGAGTAGTTTGGAGAACCGGCAAATGCCACCTCTGACTGGCCCCGCCCCCACCTATTCTCTGCCTCCCGAGTCCAGCTGATCAGCTGGG